GTTTTAGTAACAAAGGCATCTGAATAGAATCCGGATCTCCTGCTCACGAGAACTCTGCCCACGTTTATCGGAGCCACACATGGAGAACATCTCATGATGCAGGGGGAGATGTTCCCAATTCACGAGGGGTAGTGTATTGTGGGTAGGTGTGGGTAGAGTTCTCGTGGGCAGGTGATCCGGACTCATCTGAATAATGTTCTAATGCGCATTTAGTAGGGAATTAATAGGGTAATATTATCTTTCAACACAATGTATTAAATAGATTTTAAAAAATCTTTTTTGCCCTTTTTAATGTGTATTTAACAGGAAAGAGAGATAAAATTTTACTCATAAACTTACAACATAGCCTAGCCCATGGTCACCGTCACCCCTAATATAAAGAGGAAAGCGATGTACTTGTTCATTCTACTAGAGTTACCCTCACCATGTATCCATTACAAGAAGAAGAAGGTGGCTTTTCTTTTTTCTGTGTCTCAATTCTCATGACAGAATGAAGATTCGTTCTTTTTCCTTTCTTTTTTTTTTAGGGGAAATAGCTTAAACCACCCCTGAATTTTTTGGTTGTTGCTGAAACCTCCCATTAAGTTTGATAATTGCAATCACCTTTCTTGAACTTTAAGTTGTATGTAGACCCTCATTGTTAGAATCTTCTAACATGATGCACAAAAATGTCCAAATTAAAATACCCTTGCAGGTAATTTTAACCAAAATGTCTATTTTCCAAATTTTTACCCTAAGCCTCTCCAATCTCTTTTCCGAAATTGATTTATTTTCCAAATTTATCCATATCAATCTCTCAAAGTCAAAGCTACAACTTTAAACTCTTTTTTTTTTTGTTCATAAAGTTTGTATTGCTCTTTTATAGAAATGAGTCTTAGTAGTAATTGCATGGATACTTTGGTAATTCTCATACATCTTATTAGAGGGTTTTAATAGAAGGGTCTACCTGCACCTAAGTTTAGGGGAGGTTTCAGCAACAGTCAGAAACTTCAAAGAAGATTTCTACAACCAAAATGACCATATTTTTTCCATTGTTTGATTTAATCTCAAGACATAAGTGGAAC